AGGAGGGTGTTTTAAAAAAATAAAAATAAATGTACGTACATTTATCTTTTTATTTCTTTTTTATGCATGTTTATAATGTTTTTAACTTTGTAAAGTTTAATGAGAAAACAATAAAGTAAATTGAAATTACCTTTACTAGTGATTAATGAGATCCTTGAGGTTGATGCTGCGAGACTAAATATTTGATATCTGGTTCGATTTTCGTAAGGAACAAATGAAGGTCTCCTCTTTCGGTGATATTCAGACAATTTCTCTGCTTGCTCATAATAAGATTTCTCATCCCCTCCCCTCCCTCCTCAATTCCCCTCCCCACCTTTTTTTCCCCTTTTTCCTATTTTTTAACCTTCGTTATAGCAATGCCCAGCAGGAAGGCTGAGCTAGGTAGCCCACTTTTTCTTATTATTATTATTAGCCAACAACAATTTTCTCCTTTTTCTTTTGCTTCTTTCTCCTTTTTTACAAGTACTCTACTCCTTCTTTCCCCCATGCTACAAGTCCTCTGCTCCTTCTTTCTCCAATGCTACAAGTACTCTGCTCCTTCTTTCTCCAATGCTACAAGTACTCTGGTCCTTCGTTCTCCTTTTTTACAAGTACTCTCCTCCTTTATTTTATCCCCTTTTTTCTTTTTTTGATCTTTTCCTTTTTATCTCCTTTTTTAATGCTTTTCTTTAACCTTCCTAAGGGCAATATACAAAAGTAAGGCTGATGTATAGTGGGTGATGGGGCTGTATAGTGGGTAGGGGGGCTGTGAGGTGGCTAGGGGAGCTGTGAGGTGGCTAGGGGGGCTGTATAGTGGTAGGGGGGCTGCCTAGTGGGTATGGGGCTGTATAGTGGGTAGGGGGTAAGTGAGGTGGGTAGGGGGCTGTATAGTGGGTAGGGGGCAGTATAGTGGTGGGGAGCTGAGGGGTGGGTAGGGGGCTGTATAGTGGGTAAGGTGGGTAAGAGGGCTCTAGAGTAGGTAGGGGGCTCTATAGTGGGGTAGGGGCAGTGAGGTGGGTAAGGGGGCCTCTATAGTGGGTAGGGGGGCTGTGGGTGGGTAGGAGGGCTGTATAGTGGGTAGGGGCTGTGAGGTGGCTAGGGGGCTGTATAGTGGTAGGGGGCTGCCTAGTGGGTATGGGGCTGTATAGCGGGTAGGGGGGAGAGTGGGTGGGTAGGGGGGCTCTATAGTGGGTAGGGGACTGTATAGTGGGGGTGGGGGCAGTATAGTGGGTAGGGGGCAATGAGGTGGGTGGTAGGGGGCTGTATAGTGGGTAGGGAGGCAGATAAGTGGGTAGGGGGCTCTATAGTGGTAGTGGGGCTCTATGAGTGGGTGGGGGCAGTGAGGTGGGTAGGGGGCTCTATAGTGGGTAGGGGCCGGGTAGTATAGTGGGTAGGGGCCAATTGGTGAGGTAGGGGCAGAGTGGGGGATGGGTGGGGGGGTATAGGTGGGTAGGGGCAGTAGTGGGTAGGGGCTGTGAGGTGGGTAGGGGGGGTATAGTGGGGCAGTATAGTGGGCTATGGGGCCGTGGAGGTGGGTGGGGCTCTAGTGGGTGGGGCAGAGGTGGGTAGGGGGCTGTGATGTGGGTAGGGGGCAGTATAGTGGGTTGGGGGGCTGTAAAATAGTAAATACCTTTCAGTGTCCTCTTGGTCCGGTGGGCAGCTTCCCAGTAACGTGTGTGGGGGCGAAGCTTGTGGGCAGGAGGCGGAGCTTCCATTTGGGGGCCGGGCATGCGGACAAAATGATTTTAGACTGTGCAGGGAGACTGACAGGTCTCCCTGCATCCACTGGCAGCCACAGCCCCCAGCTCCTCCCTCCTCTTGGACTGACAGGCTGGCACAGTCCAAGGGGAGGATTTATCAGAATGATCATTAGAGCTGTCAGCCCAGCCCCAACTGGCCCAGTCCGGCCCTGCCACCTACTCTCTCAAACTGAGGATCCCTACCGCCCACCTGGAATTCTGAAATGCCCAATAGTGGTTGATGACCCATGCTTTAGACTTTTAAACCCCTTTGTAATGCTCGATGTACAGTGTACAGTTACGGTATGGTGCAGTTATGGTATGGTACAGTTACGGTATGGTGCAGTTACGGTATGGTGCAGTTACGGTATGGTACAATTACGGTATGGTACAGTTACGGTATGGTGCAGTTACGGTATGGTGCAGTTATGGTATGGTACAGTTACAGTATGGTACAGTTACGGTATGGTGCAGTTACGGTATGGTGCAATTACAGTATGGTTAAGTTACGGTATAGTGCAGTTACAGTATGGTACAGTTATAGTATGGAACAGTTACAGTATGGTGCAGTTATGGTATGGTTCAGTTCTGGTATGGTACAGTTAAAGTATGGTGCAATTACGGTATGGTACAGTTATGGTATTGTAAAGTTACGGTATGGTACTGTTATGGTATGGTACAGTTTCGGTATGGTACAGTTACAGTATTGGTACAGTTACGGTATGGTACAGTTACGGTATGGTACAGTTACAGTATGGTGCGGATACCGTATGGTGCAGTTATGGTATGGTACAGTTATGGTATGGTAAAGTTATGGTATGGTACTGTTATGGTATTGTACAGTTACGGTATGGTACAGTTATGGTATGATACAGTTTTGGTATAGTACAGTATGGTATGGTACAGTTACGGTATGGTACAGTTATTGTTACAATTTCCGAGCGTACAGTTACATATGGATTCAGGAAGCTTTTTTTTCTGCTTGGGATTGCTGAGATTGGCTATTATTAAATGCCTCAGTAGTGATAAATCATTGAAATAGGCATATGGAAGTCTCTCAAGGCAAGCAATCGCCGGGACAGCCTTTTTCCAGTGATTGCCTTGCTAATGACTTTAAGGAAGCTTGGTCTTCATCAAAATGGGGCATCTCACAACCACAGTGATCATAGGGTGTGCTTGCTATCACTGGACAGTCTCACACATGTTCAGTAACAGCTTGAATGGCTCCCATACTCCAGAGAACTGCTGTGATAGCCAGTCATAGCAGTATTATGCTGTGATTGGCAAATGATGCTCAGTTGCAGCAGCGCATGCCAGGATCCGCTGTCAAACATTGCTTAAAATATATGAAATAGGGTGAGCACTCACATCTTTTGTCCTAGTCAGGGTGCATGTAGTCCCAGATCTATAATCACAGATATCACTTGCCTCAGCTGTCAGTGATTGGCCCTTACAGTAATCACTCAGCCATGGGGGCAATCTGTTAAACAGTTTATTGTTAGGCTAAGTGTTATGGTTACTTACAGTTAGGGTTAATTAGGGCTACCTGGGTTTATGGTTAGATAGATTTAGAATTATCATAATTTGAAGTTGGTCAGCATGGTGACACAGATAGAGTCACTTAAATAAATAGCAAGCAAAATCATTTGCCCAAAAATCTGACATACATTTCGTATATTGCTATATGGAGAAGAATGCACATCTAGGGTGTTTGAAGTATTAGGACATACAAGGTCCATAAAATTTATTATTAGCTCAAAATGTATAGGGAAAAAAATAAATATAAAGTTTACAGTGTTAAATGTTATAACAGTGTTAAATGTTATATAAAGTTTACAGTGTTAAAATGTCACATTTTAAATAATGCAGAGCTTAGTTGAGAGACTGTGTGGCTAATGCTACCAGTCACTGAGCTGGTCCTGCACAACAGGACTTAGCTCTGTTAAGCTAACAGAGCCCCTTGTAGGAGCTTTCTTTGCTCCAGTGTAAGAGGTGACCAGCACATGGATGACCCCAGGTAAGGTGTCAAAGGGTTCACTAACAATACTTACCCAGGCCACCAGGGCACTCCTGGCTCCATAATCGCTACAGCAAACAGACCAAAGTTTGCAAATATTTAGCTGCAAAATCATAATTGCTTGTAATTTTTTTCACTCCATCTTCCATAAAGTAATTGAAACCCTGGACGTATAAGGTATTGTAACAAGCAGGAGTAATACGTGAATCTATTTATTTGAGCTATTTTGTTTTTTAAGTTGCACTAGTTTTGCAGAAAATATCTGTTTTCTATTATATCTGTACGGTGTGCTGTGCATACTTATATGTTATTAGAAGAAAGCTGTGTCTCTCTTTAAAAAATACAAAAAAAATACTCAATACATAAGATGTTTGGGTACACTTACAAAGAAATCATTAAATCATGCAACAATCAAAAGTGCTCAGCCATAAAGGAGTTAATAAAGAGAATGTTTTTTTATTTTTACTTATATCTTCCCATGGAGCGTGGTTTGCAGTTTGTGGTATTAAGCTTTGTAAAATATCCGTCACACTTTTTTTTATTCCTTTTTAGCATGAAAGGAAATTTGAAAGTCATCCCATTCCTCAGGGATGACAGTTTTATTACTGTTTTGGCCAGGTTCAGCAAAACTGTATTTCCCTAAAACACCAATTGTCAAATACCATTAATTGTGCCTGTCTAGAGAATAATTGAAAATTGTACTTTACATTCATTGTTCATTGTACTATTTTTTTAACAGACCTTACGACTGGAATAATAAAACACAGGAATGCGAGACTGTTGATAAAGGGATGACGAATGACAGAACGAGAATCCCTAATAAATAAGGAATATAATACAAAGTTATCACACTATATTGTGTGCTATTATTACTATTTATATAACACCAACTTTTCCCAGTGCTGTACATAATAAATGAAAAACAAGTTAACAGAAACAAAAGATGGAGATAGTTCTCGGCAGGGTACAAGAGGCTGATATAAGGACTGAAAAAATAAACGCATTGTTTAGGTGATAAACCCCACCACCTAAAGCAAAAAGTGAGAGTGCAGCACTAAAAAGTATCTTACTTACCCCTCAGATATATATATGGAGTGTTAACATGTAAGAGAAAAGCAGATATATACAAATAGTGCAGTATTTTATGGTGAAATTCAAAATCCAAAAAATCAGTATACAGTGACTCACATTTGTTAGAGCCTTTTTATCAATATAGGCTCTAAACACTGTGAACCTTGGGGCCTTTGTTAGGTGGCTCTTATAACCTTCTTCTATGGTGGTTTTTATATATTTCTCCACAAATGGATATATATGGATGGAAAGACAAAAAACTGCGATCTTTTCATCCATATATATCCGTTTATGGAGAAATATATGAAAACCACCATAGAAGAAGAAATATGTCTAAATTAAAATAAACTCAACTTAGCATGTGCTCATTACAATGGGGGGAAGGGCACTTGCATTACTGGCACTGTAACCACTACAGTGCATTGTAGTTGGTATGGTAGTTGGAGTTTTCTGTTAACGAAATATGTTCCACCAAGAAGAGGTCATCCAGGAAGGTCCTGAGCACACAGAAAAGGGAATAGCTAGATTTGTCAAATACGCATCTTCAAAGGTGCACAACAAATCCTTTTCATTAAAGCAGTGGGGGCATGAGCCATACTCCCTTGGGGAATAGGAGTGGGGTGAAGCAATATCTATTTTATCTGCCTTTTTTGGGGGGGAGGGGTGATGACAGAATGGGGTACCCCATTACCTACAGTCATGTTACATGTAAATACGGCCATGCTTATGGTAGAACAGTCGCTATTTGACACAATACCTGACCCTCGCAGTGCAGTGCAACCAATGATGTCTCTTCTGTGTTCTGATATACACCCAGTCATCCCTAGCTCCCTCATTATGACATAATATATGACATGGAACCCTTCCATTAGTCACCTTTAATAATGTCAGTCTATGTGGTGCTTTTAGATGATGTATACAAACTCGTGACATCATGGTCCACTGTAATCAATCACAACACAGTATGGGGTATATAAACATCCTGCTAGTCCTTTTCCCTTGCCCTGTCATGGTTCTTGTTACCAGTGACTGTGTTTATACTGTGTATTGGATTCACTGTTTTCTGACCACTGCTTGTGTGACTATTCTTGCTCTCTATTATCCTACCTTGGCCTAAATATCGATTCTGTGGATCTCTGTTATCCTAGACCTCAACCTGTCTCTCGTTTTTTCTATGTCTGCATGCAGACATTTCATTTATCAGTCTCAGGCACTAGCACAGTCGGTCTAAAGGCTACTATGTGTTCTTTTACTGTTTCCTTTTGGTTTGAGTGTTAGGGTATCTCCTTCCTGACACTATTTTAGGGTCCTGTCTACTGGCTTTATTTAATACCCTGTTGTTGCACATCCAAAGACACCAGGGAGGTGTCCCCAGGCAACACATTATTAGTCTAACTTGCACTGTATGGTGGGCACAAGGCCCATGCAGAGAATACTTCAGAAGCACTTTCTGTACGGTTTATTGGGGGCCAGCCAGAATGATGTCAGTGAGCCTGTTTAACGCTAGGACACTTTCCAAGCAGACACACCCATTATGGGCTTCACCAGTGGTGCAAGTTGCAGCATTAGGGACAACCCCAAAGGCCATTCACACCCATCTTAATTTCATACCTCCCAACGTTCAGAATTATATGCAACGGTCACAAATTTGAAAGAGCGGAATGGGGAATATGCAAATCAGGGGGATCCCTGAGGACATTCTGGCAAAACTACTTCTCTTTATTGAACTGTTATACAATATAATTCAAAAAGTTATTTGAGGTCGATGACGATAGCTGAGTATGACCTACATAGATATGAGGAAATTCAAAAAAGAGGGCAAAAAGAAATATACCATTCCCCCAGACATGCAATACTTACCTAGGGAAATACCTGCTAAAAGATAAAATGTGATGGAAGTTCTTGCAATCTGAAGGATGTGTGAAATATTTATAAAGTGTGAACTTTTTGCTCTAAGGAGCTAAAGGAACTCCTTGTAGTATCGGTACAAATAACAGCATGCGTAGTAGCTACTCAATAGGAATTTGCTTAACTACTAAGACTAACTGTAGTTATAAGGGCATATGCAGTTAAAGGCTATTCTGTAACTGTTTCTGGCTGGATTAGTGCAGGAGATAGAAGTTGGGGGTTTGGACAGAATTGAATAGATGTAGGAATGCCAAACGTAGGGTGACACAGTGATAATATACATGGATTATATGACAGCAATACCAAGCGTCGGGTGACACAGTGTTATTATGCATGCATTATATGACAGCAATATCAAGCGTAGGGGGACACAGTGATAATATGCATGCATTATATGACAGCAATATCAAGCGTAGGGTGACACAGTGGTAATATGCATGCATTGTATGACAGAAATATCAAATTTAGGGTGACATTAAAAAACCAGGGGGCGACATAGCAGCATCATGCATATGACATGGGTTAAAGTGAACTGTTTAGGTTTATAGAACATGCAGAACAGAATCTGCAACATCATATATAATTCATCAGATCAGAGTTCGGGGTTTGCGGCCTGCCCCTGGACGTTTGGGCAGCCGCGGCTCAGAGGTGCCGCTGGAGCAGCGAGGGAACAGAGGTAAGTCTTGACAAACCCCCCTAAGACACATCTTCACAAGGTGTAGGGGAGTAGGACGTCCAGGGTGACTACGGTGAAAATAACGAACCAGGCAAGGTGCATGGACATTGACAGATAGCTCCCAAGACCTTTCTTCCAGGCCATAACCTTTCCACTGGATGAGATACTAAATTCGGCCACGGTGAATACGAGAATCCAGGATTTTAGCCACCTAAAATTCTTCTTCGCCATTGACCTGAATGGGACCCAGAAGAGGAGGACTCTGAGGATTCCGAGTGGTAAATCTGTCAGGTACATGTAGCTTCAACAAAGATATGTGGGATACTTAATGTATTCGCAGAGAGAAGGGCAACTGTAAACGCACCGTCACAGGAGAGAGGACAGTTTCTATATGGTATGGACCCATACATTTAGGTCCAAGCTTCTTACTCGAAGACAACCTTAAATGTCTGGTGGACAACCATACTTTTTGCCATCAATGATAGACAGGAGCAGGTTTGCATTTCTTGTCAGCGTAGGTTTTGTATTTTTGTTGGGTTTTTTAGAGCATGGTTTTGGCACATTGGAATCCCACCTGGAGGTCACGAGTAAATTGTTCAATGTTAAGCAGAGGAGATGTGATGGGTTGGTCCGGGAGCATGACCGGATGATAACCATAGTTCACATAGAAAGGAGACTTGTGATGACAACTGTGTAAGTGATTATTGTATGCAATAAAAAAAATCATGCGGACGGGAGCACAAAGTTCTCTGATCTGGACGTACTGGACGTACTACTGTGCTTGTCCTTGTAGTAAATCCTGCATGGATTGACTGAACACCCGATCACCCCATCTGGTGGCTCATGGCTTGAATAGCCTCAGCCAACTCTGTGGGTTCCATGAAAGGCTCAGTTGTAATGTCAGGTTTAGCAGTATGAAACCCAACGTGCAGTACTACTTGCAGTGGTAGACAGCGGTAGACAAAAAATAAAGAAAAATAAAGAAAATAAAGTTCAAGGCAAGCAAATCCTGCAGGGGCAAGGCAAAGGCAAAGTCAGGCAGTCCACAAGTCACAAATATCCAGGCTGCAAAGGTTCAGAAGTAAAGGGGAAAGCCAAAGGTCAGGTAATCCAGGAGAGCAGAAATCACACAGGTAGTTTTGCAGGGAAGTAGCACAGAACAACTGAGCAATGACAGCTCAGCTGTTCACATTTTAAATAGGGGGCCAAACGAAAGACACACCTATTCTGACATGGTAAGACCACATATTGAATATGCTGTGCAATTTTGGGCACCTGTTCTAAAGAAGGATATTATGGCACTAGAAAAAGTGCAGAGGCGGGCTACAAAATTAATAAAAGGAATGGAACATATCAGCTATGAAGAAAGGTTAACAAATTTAAACCTATTTAGTTTAGAAAAACGTTGCCTGAAAGGGGATATGATAACATTATAGAAATATATTCGGCGCCAATACAAACCATTGTGTGGAAATCTATTCACAAACCAGACTTTACATAAGACACGAGGCCATGCGTTTAGACTGGAAGAAAGAACATTTCGTCTAAGGCAAAGGAAAGGTTTTTTTTACTGTAAGAACAATCAGGATGTGGAATTCTCTGCCTGAAGAAATGGTTTTATCAGAGTCCATACAGATGTTCAAACAGCTACTAGATGCATACTTGCAAAAACAGAATATTCAAGGATATAATCTTTCAATGTAGGGTAATAACTGCTTGATCCAACGATAAATCTGACTGCCAATCACAGTGAGAAGCGCGGAAGCGCCTCTAGCGGCTGTCAATGAGACAGCCACTAGAGGCTGGATTAACCTATTTGTAAACATAGAAGTTTCTCTGAAACTGCTGTGTTTACTGCAAAAAGGGTTAAACCTAGAAGGACCTGGCACCCAGACCACTCCATTAAGCTGAAGTGGTCTGGGTGCCTATAGTGGTCCTTTAAGTAAATACTCGCCTCCTGTCATTAAAAAAATTAAGATTATATGTACACTAAAGCTAGCATAATCTACAATTGCCTTTTTGCAAGCATTATTGGCTTCCTTATATCCTATATAGGATGCCTATGATTTGTCCGATTTAAATGTCCTTTTTTATTTTAAATCTCTTGTTTTACTTCTCTGCTAGGCCACATTGGTTTCAATTGGTTTCTTTTATATTTATTACCCAATAGTACATGAGAAATGTACTTTTCAAATATTTGTTTGAATAGTTTCCATTTATCCTCACTGTCTTTTTCACTAAGGAGTTTATGCCAGTCAATATGTTGTAGAGCTGCCTTAATCTTATTGAAATTGGCTTTTTAAAAATTATATGTTTTAGTGTACCCCACGTGCTTTTGCTTTTTTGAGTTTATTTAAAAAATTACCATATTGTGATCACTATTTCCCAAATGCTCCCCTATTTGAATGTTGTTAGTCATATATTTATTGGGGTGCTAATGGAGAGGGTGGAATTAGTGGGTTGGGGGTTTGGGAGTGTTGGGAATTGTTCATGGAATGTAGGGCCATACGTAATTACCCCTTCTGTGCATGAGTAAATTGCAGGAACACTGAGCAATGAAACAAACATTATGCAACATGTACTGAAATTTGTTTAATCATATGTATTCTAGGTTTGGAGAGCAACGCATAAACTTTGTTACAGTACATTGCAGGAAACAACATAAATATCAGAGTCAGTAAAGAAAACAAATTCAATTTAATGAAATAAAAGAGAAGAAAGACCTAGTCATTGGACACCAG